CGATTAAACCCAACAAACTTTACACAGAACCAACCTATCTTATACTCACTTATTTTTGCTCCCGAACAATTTTATTTTTCTTATAATCCATCACACCGATCATCTTTTACTTCTTTAATTTTATGCTAAGTACAATATTTGTTTAATCTTTTGAATTTAGTTTATTTATTGCTTTTCATTTCAGTGGTACTTTTATGTTTCAGCCCATTGCATTGTTAGGTGAGAAATTATTTGAAATCATTGAACCCTAAGTAATAGAAAATAATTCAGAGATAACCTTGCGCTTTATTACAATTACATGAACAGTCACAATTTTTATAATCTTACACTGGTTCGAATAAGTAAGATAGTACGTATTTGGATATTAAGTTCAATCGAATTTCAGCATATTCGCAATCTAAAAATACGCCAAATAATTACATAAAATATTTTGATATTAAAAAGGGTTAAAAACAAAAAAATCCTTGTACTTAAAAGGCAAAAATAGATGACCTTCTCAACTTTAAACTTTTGTACATAAAAATCCTCTTAACTCCTAACTAGAGTGCAAAAATAACAGTTTCTGTCAAAAGTAACAGCGTGTGTACCACACATGCCACTAAGACCATGTTTGCTTTATGTTTAATATATTTTTAAATCTAAAATTAATTTTTTATACTCATTGTATTTTCCTTTTCATATTGTCTTCAAACTACCAACGGTGGTTGTAATGTTCACGCACACGCACACGCACAAAACCCAGAAACACTACATCCATTCATACCACAACCAACCTCATGTCTCATCAAATATAATCACTCAGGACACCTTCTCTCTCTACACATTTTGTCTCACTCTCACCCCATTATAGAACCAAAAATAGTGATATCCACCGTTAGGGAACTCTTGGCATGCATAAGCATCATTGTTGGTTGTCATGACAGAGAAGGGGGAGGGGGAGGGAGAGGGAGAGAGTAATGCCCTGTTCAAGAAAATAAATATAAATTTTATTTGGTTAGAACTCTCTTAAAAAAAAATTAAGTATATAAATTAAGGGATTTGCAAGGGGTCGTAGTAAGCCATCCAGTAGACATTTTTTGAGAGGAATGGTCACTTGAAAACAACAATGAATGAGAAATGTAAAGAAAAAACGAAACTAAGAAGGTGGAGGTGGTAGCCAAATAGAAATGCATATGTGACTATGCATGGTTATGTATACACAACCTGTAAGTTATAAGTCATGAAGGGAGCAAATTAAAAAAAATAGAATGAATAAAAAGTAGAAGGAGAAAATGGGAGGATCGGACAGAAAGAGTAGAAAAAATATAAAGAGAAATAGCAAGAGAGAGAGAGAGAAAGAGTTCTTGGATATGGATAGAGGAAGAAAAAGAGACTCGAGTAGGGGAGGTCGATGGGTCTGGGAGTTGGGCCAAAAGGAGAACAGATGGAGAGATAAAGAAATACTCGTATGGATGAGGGAGAGGTACAAAGTGGGATTAGGTTAAGAGAGGACATTATAATGAAAATTGAATGAAATAATAAGTGTATTTTTAGTATTTTTACTGAGTTCTATGAAGGATATGTTGGGGAATTAACATTGATGGTGTTCAAAATTACTCCACCCAATTACAAAACAATTGTGGGGTGAAGCCCAGTGGAAACTTTGGGAATAGTTAGAACAATGGGAAAGTAAATGTTAATATTATATCAGGACATACGTGACTCACCTTAGCTGAAAGACTGAGACTACATCCATTATAATGAAAGCTCTTTCTCTTTGGGATTATATTACTTAAGAAAAAGGATAGCGATTACAGTGGGTTTTTTGGTTGAGAGTCTTTTTACACAATATTTCTTAGGTGAAACTATGGAATTCTTCTTTACAGTAGTTTCGTCTTTTATTTATACACCTGGTTATCTAGGATTTTTTCGATTCATCCTTTTTTTGACTGATTCTGTGGTCCCTTTTTCATTTGTCATGTAGTGTTGTCTCTCAACCTGACGTCTTCCGTGTCCACGATCCTTGAAACGGTATTTATGCGATATTCACTTTGTCAGGGAATATTTATTTGTTAGAGTCGTCAGACATTGTCCCCTGTCCCCTGACCACATAGTGCAATCGGGGGTTACTTGAGACCTGCCCTACACCGAGCTCCTTATTCTCGATCAGGAACTCTCCGTTGAACTCGCTGAAATCGAGTTGGTATATATCCTGAGTTGGACAATCTTGGACTCCTATGGCCTTGGGTTATGGCCCAATCCTGTGATATGGCGGGTGTCATGTAGATGGGCCATTTGGATCATTCTCTAGCGGGCTTACTGGGTGTTTTGGGCTCCACATGGACGGCTCAGGTTTAAATTCATCATCGTCAAACATAATTACACGTATTTGAATTAACAAATTAATTTCAAAAACTCGGCATAACAAGAACATAAAAGCAAATATAAAATAGCAATCAATTTAGATCTAGAGTAAAATAAAAAATCTAAAACAGAAAGAGCAAGCATGTGATATTTAATAGACATGTAATTACTGTCTTAAAACAATTGTGTCTCTCAACGTGAAGGTATTAACGAGCAACAGAGCTTCCAAGATCTAACTTAAATAATCACAACAACTACTCCTCAAGTGTCATATCTACTTAAAGGTAATAGTGCATTTGACTTAAATTGAAGTTATCCAAAAATTCATGATAATAAAAAGAAAGAATAAAAGATAAGTACATATGGACAAAAGCTATAAAACTAGGTTGTCAAAAAACTTGAGTTGATAGAAATCTTATGAAGTCTGGTGGTAGAATGGGAAAATATAGTGAGGCTATGAGCAATGGCTCATCGTCAAGAGAGTTAAGGACTCATCCACAAGTTATGTCCGGCCAAGGGCGGAGCCTGAAATTGGCTAAAGATGAGCACAACCTATATTTTATATTTTCCATATAATAAAATAACTTACGATTCAAATTTCAAAAGGTAAACAAAATGACTTTTACTTTTCACGGCTTAGATCATTTTAAATTTTACTTTAAAATTAATCTAACGGCTAATATTAACACTTTAAATTTAATAGAAAAAATAAGTTACTAAGGGTGTGTTTAGAGTGACTTTTTAAAAGTATTTTTATGAATTATTTCTCATAAATACTTTAAAAAATAATAATATTTGAAAATGCTCCACTACTACCTCTACAACCACTACCATCACCTCTACCTTTACTACCACCACCGCTGTCACAACCACCGCCACCACCACCACCACCGCCATCGCCACCGCCACCACCACCGCCACCGCCATCGTAGCCGCCACCACCGCCACCATTGTTGCAGTCGTCGTCGCCGCCATCGCCACTATCACCGTTGCCATCGTCACCACCACCACCACCGTCACCGCCACCATCACCACCTCAGTAGCTGCCACCACCACCGCCACCTCTACCACCATCATCACCATTGCCACCACCACCACGGTCATTACTGCCAACCACAATCATCACCGTCTCCTACCACCACCACTACTACCCACCACCTCTCACCCCCACTATAATTAATGCATAAATTTATTTATCTCTCATTTAGCCTTCAGGCACAGACAATAAACAAATATGTTAATAAAATGGTGTAAATCAATCTAAATTCGATAAAAATTTAAGCTATCCACACAAAAAAAATTCAATGTCTATGGTCAAAATAATTTTTAAATGAAAAGAAAAAAAGTAATTACCAAAAAATACTATTTTTTACCAAATGGTTATATTAAAGATAACTAGCAATTATACTTGATTCACACAAAATTCAGGGGTTTTTTAAAATCCAACCCCAATAATTAATGGTATAACTGATAAAACACACAAAAAATCTGTTATTACATTAGTAAAAAAGCTAAAACATCTGATAGAATCTTCCCACAAACTAGTAATGTATTTATAGTAAGAGTTTTACTTATTTTATAGGTTAATGAGTTTAATCAAGCCTATTATAACCTGTTTATTAATCGGGTTAAAAATATATTGAATTTATTTTACACCCAACCCAATCCGCCCATTTACCATGTTTGTGGAGCATCCATGAATTCACTTGTTTTAAAATTCAACCTCAATAATTAATGGTATAACTGATCAACCTCAATAATTAATGATATAATTGATCATACACACAACAAATCTATTATTACATTCGGTAAAAACACTGAAACATCTGATAGAATCTTCCCCCAATTAGTAATGTATTTATATTAAGAGTTTTAATTACTTTATAGGTTACTGAGTTTAATCGAACTTATTATAACCTGTTTATTAAACTGGTCAAAAATTAATTAAATTTGTTTTGCACCCAACCCATTTTGAACCAACTCAACCCACCCCTTTGCTAAGTTTGATGGAGCATCCCAAGTAGTGTTCAAGCCAAAAATTCAGTTATTTTAAAATTCAACCCCAATAATTAATGGTATAACCGATCAAACACACAAAAAATCTGTTATTCGGTAAAAAGGCTAAAACATATGATACAATCATCCCACAAACTAGTAAGCTTATAGTTTACGACAGTTCCATCATACTGGAACCAGGGAACAATGACCAAAACAAATTCAAAATGGTATCTTCAGCAAATTACACTTTGACTCTTTCAACTATGGCCCTCGTTTTATATTCCCATAAATTATCTGTTTTTCATATTACACTTTAAACTATTTGATTGAATTTCATATTGCCCAAGGGTTAACATTTGCCCAACTTTTCAAGGTAAACCAAGCCAAAAGGGACTTCGCTCATTTGGTGAGAGAAAGAGCACATGATCTCCTAACATTATGGAATTTTATTTTTGCTCTGATCTGCTTTGAAAAATTGGGCAGAAGCTGACGATTGGGACAATATGAAACTCAAACTAATAATTGAAGTTTACAGGACAATGTGAAATTCAAACCAACAGTTGAAGGTGCAATGTAAGAAAGCGGATCCATTAGGGGCAAAGTGAAACAACAAGAAGTGGTATAGTTCATGGGTCTAAGAGTAATTTGTCCTGGTACCTTCATTCTGTTTTCTGTGTTTCTTTAGATCCACATCTTGATTCAGGCTGGAGTTGTACATAGTCTGTGGGTCCATAAGGTTCAAACAAATCTTGAAAGAAGCCCTTCTTTCTTCTGGGATTGCATCCAATGTCTTTGCACAACTGATCATTGTACCATATATGAAGAGCACCAATGCAAGATCTTTGATAAGACTTGCCAGCATATTGTTTTTGGTAATTTTCCCACATTGTAATATCCTTTTCCATTTCCTTTATACTTGGCAATTTGAAGGTTCCATCAAGAAAATGTGCAAGCCACTGGCACCTGATTTCGAAGGTGTATAGACTGCCGAGGCTCTCCGAGTGTCCTATTATCGCTAGTCGTGGAATTCGTGGATGACATCTGCCTAAAACAGCAAAAAAATACAAGAGATCAAAATAAGATGACATAAATTGAATTCTTTAGGGATCAAATTGACAAAATTAATACAATGAGAACTACCAAAAGTACTATTAACCCTTTTTTATATCAAGGGAACTTTTTTAAAAAACTTAAATTACTTAAAATTTTAAAAGGACCCCAAAACTTTTGAAAACTATAGTGGAGGCAGCTTAATTTATGAAAATGTGCTCAAGTGCTAGTCCAGAACAAGTAGAGATACAAGCAGCAAGAGAAGCCTTTTGTTAGAAGATCGGGAAATAAAAGTGATATTTGTTGATAACTTTCATACATGGGTAGGTAAGGTGGCCCCTAACTTTATCGTGTCTTGACTCCTATTATATATTTTTCAGTAATAAATCCTCTATCGTTTTTTCTATAAAGAAAAAGTTAGTGAACATACCTGTAGAGAGGAATTGTGGAAGTTTGCGACTTGATTATGCATTTTTGAAAGGTTGGAGAGGTGAAAATATTTTTGATCTTGAGATCACCTCTACATCCAGTGGCAAAGATGACAAGATCTGTCTTGAGAGGCTCAACTTCTCCATCAATAATCAAACCTTGTTTGTAGAAGCTGAAGCTCTGTGATTCCTTTAAAATGATACTTCCTTCTCTCACTTTGTCATAGAAAATTTCAGGCAGCATGATGATTAGACAAGAAGCAATCTTTTGAAAAAAGCTGACTTTCGGTATCATTCCATACATTTTCAACGGGAGTTTCCATCGAAGATAGCTCTCCACAAATTTTGAGATTACCCACCTCTGAAAAGATTGCAATTATTAATTAAATATCAAAATTTTTGTATCTCAAGATGGTTCGAGATGTTTTGGACAATGGTTCATAAATAAATTTTTAAATGTTTATGTTGTTTTTATTCTATTTACAAAATACTTTTGAAATATTTTTGTTTCAAAGTTGATAGAAACAAAGAATCGAAATTTTATTACGGTACATAATTTTGGTCACTAATTTGTTTGCGAAATATTGATTGAAATATACCGAAACAATTCCAAAAATAAAAATTTTGATATTCAACCACTGATTTGTGTCGGTTTTTGTATACATAGAAACGTTCTAGATGTTTTGAATTGAAATTTAATTCTTTGACAAAAATTATGCACCGAACAACAAAGAACTTACCAAAGGTGAAACTAGGGTGGCCAAAACACAGAGTAGGAAGGTTTCGCCAGGCTTGTGAAACAAGAGTTCTGCGAAGCGATTGAAGTATAAGACACCAAGACTAACTCCCCAGAAGTAGACACTGGGGAGCATCCAATAAATTGTTCGTTGAATCAACGTGCAAGGGTAATCTGTACCTAATTGGAAAATTAGCGAAGTTTAGTTAACAAAGTTGAATTAAAGGATTATGACAAGTTTTAAATCTTAATGTAGGCAAGATATTTTTAATTATTACTTGTTTGATTGGAGTTTAGACAAACAAACAGAGCCCAAAAAACAAGGAAACCCATCACAGAGCAGTTGACTAGAAGGGTTACCGTGGAGAAATTACTCACATTTGAGACTTGCACAAATTTTGTGATGAAGTTAACATGTAAAAGCAGATAAGAGGATGTCATTCATTCAACTACAGTTTCGAAGATATAAGAGGCATTCTTATGATTAACGGTTTAATCGAAAGCACGGTCCTCAATAGAGCACAAAAGAGAAACAAAATTCACTTTAGCCAAAGCCGTTGAACTATAAAATTTTTTACATTGGCCCTTCAATTACTTGAATATGTTACAAATTGCCCAAAACGCAAAACATCCTTCATCTAGATGAAGAATGTTAACATATTCGGGCAAAGTGAAATATTATTACACAGGCCGGGGGAAAACTGAAACAATTTTCTTTCAAATATCCAGTGGATTTTAATCGTTCGGGGCAATGTGGAACCAATAATCATAGTTAAAGGTGCAATATTAAAAACATGATAATTAAGGTAGCAAAGTGACATAAATATCTTAGTTTAAGCTGGCAAAGTGTAATGAAGTGTAAATGGAATAAAGATTTTGTTGAGTTGAGTTGAAAAGCGTCCGACTTGAAGTTGCCTCCGAAAGACAAAATGCATGTGAAGTAAGTGAAAGTTTTCTCACCATTTGCATTGGCACATTCGACTGCTATGTCTACTGCAGATTTAGAAGAACCTATGACTGCAATTCTCTTTCCTTTAAGAAATTCTACAGCAACTGCATTGTCCATAGCAGAGTAGTCCACTGAATGCATCACCTTACCATTGAATACTTCTGGGCCTTGATCTTGAGGGAACTCTGGGATGTTTGATAGACCACTGAATCTTCCATTGCAAAGAGCAACAAACTCAACTTCATATTCCTACCCCAACAAAAACAACCAACAGTCCTTTTTGATTGAGTAATCAATGTAACAAGAAGCCAAGAATGCCTAGTTTCTCTTCCCATTCTTTCTTTTCAAACTAACACATATTCTACCTAGATTTCACAACAAGAATTAGGGTCTTTTGAGATAAATTTTTTTGCGACGGTAATACTTATCTGATGGAACATTTCCAAGTACTTCAAGATGAAGACACGTGTCTTCGGCATCAGTAAATTCTTTTCCTATAAACACGACACGTACCCGTCGGATCACAAGTCCATGTTCCCCCGATGTACTGTTTATAGGGATCAATGACATTCAGTACGTTACATACCGACACGTATCCCTCAGGGTCGGATAGAGTACATCGGTCCCTACATGTATCACTCCCCCTCGGTACCGAGATGTACCCGTCTAGGATGGCGTTCTCTGCTCCTGCAGAGGCTATTGATGTACAGGTCACTAGGCTAGGTTAGCCATCATGACCTCGTCTTACACAATTGGTGTCAGAAGACACAAGAAGGCAGGGGACACAGCCAATGGGAAATGGACGCGTGGCATATTGTGTCACATCAGAGACAAAAAGACCAGATGCCCTTGCTGACACACGACTTGAAAAAACAAGCATTCAATTACATCATTCTCTTGATGAGACAGCGGTAAGGCTCGGAAATGAAAGGTAATAAATGTCCATAAGGCTGGACATTTATTACATCTTTGCCGAGAGGAGCTCATTAAATAGTCGGCAGGCCGATGACACAGCCTTGGTTGCTCGGGATCCGAGCAGTTAAAAAGAAAAGACATTTCTCATAGGAATCAGTGCGCACGTTACCCGTATCTAATGATCACCTACTGACCACACTGACAGCAATCATGAGTATTTGAGGTATAAATACTTTTCACAAAAGGCAAGATAAAGGAGGAACAAGGTGAAATCTTTTCTCAAACTTATACTCAGTGTTTTCTTCTTTCTCTCTCTCAAAAATTGGCTTGATCGTCGGAGGGGATACGCCGAAAAACACTCAGGCGCCCTTCTAACTTGTCTTTCTTTGTTCCAGGAACTTTCCTCAACCTTACTGGATCGTTCCGTTGATCCACGAGGGTCTCCCATTATCGTTCCAAGTTACCACCGGACCTCACAAGCTGTTCCAAGCAGTAGAGTTGACCACTCGACTGACTCACTCGAGTTCACCAAGAGAGAGATCTGTTCTCGTGTTTATATTGTGCAAGATCCAGCACGCACATTATCATCACAAAAAACGTGTTTATTTTTCAACCGTACTAAAACTTACAAATTCTTTGATTCAAGTAATATTCTTTGGGTCAAGTTATAAAAAGAGAGATGTTTGGACTTGATCCTAGCATTTTTGTTATAACTTCGCCCCATTTAGCTATAACTTGATCCAAAAAAGTTATACGCTTCGGTACCCTACTTGAAGTATTAGACAAAGTATGTGAAAAATGGATGCAAATAACCAAAAGTTTGTGCAAAAATATGCACACCTCCGTAAGGCTGTCTTGTGTGTTTTCCGCTAGTACTTTCCATTTTCCCTCGGATCCAAATGCTTTACCTGCTCCACCCCACTGATCCCATCCCTTCATCTCTACATGAGACTCCCCAGTATAATCTATAGTGGTGACTTTGGAGTTGAACTTAATATAAGGGAAGAGACCAAAGTGTTTGGCATATGATTAAATACAATCCAAAACTTGGGTATTGTGAGGATGTTCATCTTCTACAGAACAAGGCTAGGGGAAATCAGAAAACTGGTAAACTTCTTTGACATTCTGGAGTTTAGTGCACTCCAAGGTTTGAGCCCAAACACCTCCAATGGTGCTATGAGCTTCCAAGACTATGGGTTTGAGTCCCTTGGCAATTGAGTATTTGCAGGCAAGAAGTCCGGAAATTCCTGCTCCAATGATCGTCACCCTCTTCTCCATTGATGTCTGATGATCTTCTAACTATAGTTGTGAGAAGATTCACGAGTCCACTTCAAAGATTATTCTTTTTTTTCATTGAACAAATCAAGGATTACATAAATTATTAGCAGTTTCAGATTTGAATAAGTGATATCCTGCTGTACATGGATATTTGATTCAACTGTATATATATTCTAATTATATTTATACTCTTTGAGATTGGTTATTTAATTAGATGGCCCCATCTTATTTGAGAAATGATTTTGCAACCCCTTAAATCCAACATTTTGGAGACGAAAGCAGCGAAAGTGAAAAAACAGACCACTTTAACTCCAAGAGTGGGCTTAACGGCTGGTTTGGATCCTGGTTTCAATTTCTTTTTTAACTAAAGTTATATTCCATATATTCAGTTTTAGGCCTACTTATCTTAAATTATTTTTATTCCAAGACTTCTCGTCAAATTTCTCATTTATTATTAATTTTTTATTTATTTTCATCAACTAGTACGATGTCATTCGCAATTTTTTTTTTGTATTTATATTTTGGGTAATGGAGAAATCTCATGACCTGTCGTCATTGAGTAGAAGCGTACATATGTCGCTCAGGCTCGTACCTTTGAGTAAAACCAAGGACAAACTCGAGTTTATGAATCGATTCTTCAACTTATACACCAGTTAAATCAGTACTTGCGTTTCGCTGGAGACTAAAGACCCACACCAGAAATTTGAATATAATTCGTCCAAACAATTGAAGTCTTGTCCTACAAAGCAATCACATTATTATGTACAGAGAGAACTTCGAACCCCTGACCTGTCACTGAAAAGCCAGAGACTCTGGCCAGCTACCCCAGTTGGTTATAATTCACAAATTACTTAAATAATAGAATATAATTTAAACAGTCACATCAAACTCCAGACAAATCTAACACTCATGAGAATGAAGTGTAAGTGGTTACCCTTATCCTCGAGCTGCACATTTATTACTTGGCCTAGAGAAAGTAGGTGGTCATTCAAAATTAAATGGTGCATTGATATATCCACTCAAGAGGCTTAGCATTTAATGACCTCTCTCTGACATTTTAATGAGTCGTGCTAAGTATTTAAACAGTAAAACACCAAGTATTGGCTGATATATCCTGACGCACCTCCCGATTAGTCCACGAAAGAGAGTCATGCCTTTGTCTTTTGTCCACCAGACTTGATGTAAATCTCCACATAAACGTTATGGTACAGTTAATCATTTTCTGCTATCTATCCCGTCAGTTATTTCTAGTGATGTCAATGAACCCTCATGTCGGATCACCATTATTGTCTAGACTCGGAGCATGATGTCCGCGGGGGTTCTATAAGTTCTAAGGATTAGCTTGAGACTGCTCTGTTTGGATTGTCCAATAGTAGTGTATTTCCGGTGGTATCCATTCTTGTCTGTGTTGTCCTTTAGTGATGGATGTACCGATTCACATCCCATCAATATCTGTAGGTACAATGGCAAATACAAGGTGGGGACAATTGGGCAATTGCCCTAATCGAAATATTTAAAAATTTTGGGGTCTTTTTGAAATTTAATAAATTTACAAGTTTTTTTTTTTTTTTAAATCTTGCCTCCACAAAAAAATTGTGTATAGTTTTATATTTTAAAAATCAAATTGGATTATTTCATAAATTTAAAATTTAAGTCTCTTAACATATTGGTTTTTAACTTGAATTTAATTTGAGTCAGAGTTCGATTAGTTAGGTATAAATTGATAATTTTGACCGATTATCCAAGTTCAAATCAATTTTGTCCTATTTCATGAATTTAAATTTTAATATACGAAACTATAATTGGATTGTGATATAATTCGATTTATTACATTCATATATGTGAATTTATGATAGAATTGAGTATTGGTTGATACAATCTAATTGAACTAAAATATAATTTAATAAAATTCAACTATAAATAACTCACGTATCCACTCAAATATTTAGTATTTACTTAAATTGGATATAGAATGTTATAAATAAATTGTTGAATATTCATATCCGATTAAAAAATATTTTTAAATCAAATTCAAATATCTTAAAAATCGATTTTGTATTTTATATGATTGCTATGTGAAAATCGGTTTGAATTCACAAAAAATAATTAATGATTGTTGTAAGAGGTAAAAATTGATTATACCTCTTACTAAAGGTTGGATTTAATATTTCTGGTAAAGAATATTTTTGAACTTGATCATCCAATCTTCCTGTTCTATAAAACGAACAAACTGTCCAAGATCGAAGTATTTCAATCAAAGGCATTCCAATGCATTAAGTCAGTAATGGAATAAAATAAGTGCTAGAAGACAAGGAGAGTTCAACGTACCTTTCACCTTAGTCTCTTCTGCTTTTTATAGATCCTTGTTCCCTTAGGATTTTCGTAAATTTTGATTAAAGGTGGCAGACCTTCTTTCAATTCAATCATTCAGTTTGGGAAGTTGTTGATATTTCTCCAACAGTTCCTCCTGAAATTTACAATTTTGTTGATCCGTTTATCTAATTGCCTAAGTTATAGGCGAATTTGTATATTTCCATCTATCGTTTTGAATAGTTCGAACATAGCGAATGCCAAACAGACTTGATATTTGGGACTTGGCTTGGCACAAACTGGTCTCTTCTATATCCTTTCCGAACACTTTAATGAACTCGGATTGGCATAAGTCGAGCTCTTTTCTTGCTTATCTGAATAGATTAATGAGTTCAGTCATAAAGAAAACCAAAAATTTTTTTGATTGCCGAACCTTTAATTAGCTCAATTTAGTTAAAAGACTTAATAGAGGATTTTTTATCACGTGTCTTACCTTATCAACACAACGTGAGCATATTTAATACCATATAAAGTGTAATCATGAAATTTAACATGTTCGATTGTTATTTTCAAACTATTGATTGCCCCCACAATAGGACAACTCTGGCTTCGTCCCTACATGGGTAATTCGTATAATTTATCTCCGAGGGAGCTAGTTGTTTTCTAAACCCCACAACCTAATGGGTGGGAGCATCTTTCAAGGGTAGAAAGTGAGATTAACCCTTATTTTTTTATTTCTCAACTAAGAGGAGACACATCTAATTATGCGAGAAACCCAAGGGACCTAAATGTAATTATTTACTACTGTCCATGCAAAGCTTCACCTGGTCCCATATATCCCATTTTAGCAGTATTTTTGTCTCTTAATGGTGCACCATATGCAGAACCAAGTCAAAATTTAATTGTATAAAAGCACTTATTTTAATTTAATATTTTATTTGTCGCATAATGGTGCATTATATGCAGAACCAAGTCAAAATTTAGCTGTATAAAAGCACTTATAGTAATTTGCATCCTCTTGGATTTGGCTCTGGGTAACTGGTCTAAAGGTTATACTCGACTGGTGTCCTATTGTATTTGGATTGTGTCATGATCCGCAAACATGCTCAAGAATCGAGAGAAAAATTGGCCTTCCTCCGACCTATTCATTGATTGATTTGTATTGTATGTGGACTGAAATCTCCTTCTTTCTCAACAACAACTAATTGGTCCACATTAATTAATTATGGCACAGACATCTAAAAGCCTGATTGGTTGACCTTTTCTTCTTTCGTTATGGCACTACCACTACATCTAAAAAGACTTTTTCGTGCAGTTTTTTTTTAAATTAAAATGATACAGCCAAAAGATTAGTATCAGTGATTTAGCATTACCAAGAACGGTACACACCAACTGAAAAATGATGGAAGTTTGGCGTACAGAAACTGGCTTGTAGTCCTTGGAAATGTCTTTCAAGCTGGATCCATTAATTTAAGGAAAAACATGAGACCATTTTGAAGATAAATTTTGTTTATTTGCTTTAATTTCCTAAGGACCTCTTGGCTTATTATGAAGCAACGGTGTAATTAGGGATGTTAATGGACCGAAGCGGGGGCGGAGGGTATAGTCTTCATCTCCGTACCGCTTTAAAAATCTTCGTCCATCTCCGGTCCATCCTTGCTAACGGATATAAATTTCATTCTCATTCCTGTTTCCAAATAAATTTATAATCTCCATCCCGATCCCTACTTTTCTCGTACCTGTCCAAGCCCAAGCCCAAACCCAAGCCTAATGCCATACATTTACGTTTGTGCTTGGATGCAAAAAAAAATATGAATAATATGATCTTAATGGACAAAAAGACTATGCAATTAAAACCCAACCAGGCCTTAACCTGGTCAATATTTCGAGAGGCCAGCTTGAAACTCAGAATCTAGCTTCAAAACAACCATGAGTCTCCTTGTATTGATCAATAATCACAAACAAATTGGAATCTAAATCAAACACCGCCTAAGCTTTAACATGTCACAAATTAAGACTACAGTCAACTAAGAAGCATCCTGCATGCATCACACTAAGAATCTAAGTGACATGAATGTTGATGATATACAGAATTAACAGGTATACGGGGACGGGGCAGGGCAAGGCAGGACGGGGCGGGGGTAAGGGTAAGTTCGTCCCCGCCTTCATCCCTGCACAAGTATTCCCGTATATGTCTACCATCCAATACGTATAGTCCATCCCCGGTCCAAACGAGACGAATTTGGATAAATACCCGTTTTTCCTCAGTCCACTGCCATCCCAAGGTGTAATTGGGAGGGAGGTTGATAATGACATGATATCAATTCAGATTTAATAATTCTTAATTTGAATTTCATCTAAACATGTCTTTAACTTGAACCATTTGAAGCAAAGTTATGCAAGTAGTTAATTTTTTTTAGTTTGGATTACACCAATAGGGTTAAAGTTTGGTTTTTAATTTGTGAATTTAGATTTCGACTCTATTTTTAATTTGGTTAAAATCAAGTTTAATTATTGTGTGTAACAACTTGGGGTGAATTCCAAGTTTGATTCATGTCTTCTTTTCTAATAGGACATCGAACTCGAATTCACTAATTCATGTTAGATCTTAAAATCCAAATTCATCAATTCATAGTAGGCCCTAAAACCCGAGATCTCAACCAGAGATTTCTCTTGCTAAAAAAAAACCC